CTTGCCTCAGGATAGGGTCTGGGTGATGATTTTCCTTTTGATTCGTTCCACCTGTTGCTGAGTCAGCTGTTGAGGTCAATTAGCAGCCAAATCTGGCTTGGGTCAGTTTAAAGACTAATAGAAATTTACTGGCATTCAGAGGGTCAGGTCACACCATCATATTATATATAGGCAGTCCCCGGCCCCACCCGTTGTTCTACCCGCCTGAGGAGCAGGAGCAGCCTGGGCTCTGCAGATCCCGCTACTGCCTGCCCGCTGGACAAGGCCAGAGAGCTATATTCACTGGATACAAGAGGCAGGGCTTGCCGGGTGTGTGGCTGTGGGCTAGGCAGGGGCTGCGCTGGCAGGTGGACGAGGAGTTTGCGCATGTCCAGGGGCAGGGTGTGGGGAGGGTGCTGGGAAGGAAGGGGTGTGGGAGGGAGGGGGCATAGGAGGAGCGGGGTGCATGGGGAGGGGTGCAGAGAGGTGGCGGCAGAAGCTTGCAAGTTCCTTGGGACCTACGGGAGGAGTGGAAGAGCTGTGGCCGGTGCTGCCCTGCACCAGGAGTGGAAGGCTACAGGGCTACTGGGTAGTGGAGGAAGAGGTGCTGCAAGGATTGGGATACACCCTGGAGTTCTGCTGCTTTTTCACTCTGGGGGTTTGGGATCTTTGAAACCATTAGGGAGAAATAATAAACAAAAGGAGAACTGCTTTCCCTTTTAAAAAAAAAAAAATCTAGGGGACTTCGGATGTATATGTGGTTGGACACTGCCTGAACAGACGTTATCCGGTGCACGAATTGTACGGCATAACTTATAATGGCTGTATGTGCTGTTGTGTGTGTTTTTTTCTTTCTCTGTGTGTGACTGCCACATCTTTCTCCCTCAGAGAGGGTTCAAATTGGTGGGTTCAAACTGTCCACCTTTCAGTTAGCAGCCCAGTGCTTAACCACTATGCCACCAAGGCTGTTGAAGACAGCTCTAAGCAGTAGGAAATCCTACATCTGACATGTGAGCTAGCCAAGGCTGCCTGCCGTAATTGAATTAGGTCACTTCCTACTGATAAGATATTTAGGTTGTTTCCAAACATTGCTGTGAGAAATACTGTTAAATATTTATGTTGGCGTACTTGTTTAATTATCTTATAGATCAATTCCTAGAAGTGGAATTGCTAGGTCAAAAGGCATTTGCACTTAAATTTTGTTGGAAATGTTTGCACCACCACCAGTGTAGAAAAGTGCCCACTCCTTCATACCTTAGAAAACACAAAGGATTATCAATGTTTCTAATCTCTGCCAATCTGATAGAAAAATAAACAAAACAGGTCACTATTATTTCACCTTGAATTTCTTTGATTATTCATGTTCATTGGTCATTTGTATTTCTTCTGTTAATTGCCCATTCATGTTGTTTGCCTATTTTTCAATTGAGATATTTAGTCATACAAAAAATAAAAGTCAAATCTACCAGAATTTTCCTTTATGACTTCTGGAATAGAACTACATTACGTACCTCAAGAATATAAAAACATTTACCACATTTTCTTGTAGTACTTCCATGGTTTCATTTTTGACATTTAAATCTTTGATTCATCTGGAGTTTATTTTTATATAAGAAGTTGGATATAAATCCAGCAGTTAGTCATTCAGTCCATTAGTCATCCAAAAGGATGTAGTGAATGCCCATTATATGCCAGATACTATGTTAGGCCTTGGGGATTCATGGTTTTCCATTCATGTGAGATAGCTGGACATTAAATAAGTCATTAAAAATAGTAATTATAAGCATCAAAATGCTGGGACGAAGTACAGGGAGCTACGGGAGCATATAACAGGGTACCTGACTCACTTAGAGGCTCAGGCAAGTTTTCCTTGGGAAAATGGTATTTGCATTGAGACCTGAAGACCGAACAGAAGTTAACTAAGAAGTGGACATAAACATTCCAGACAGGGAGTATGTACAAAAGCCTGAAGGTGCAAAAGAACATGGTTCTTGCTCAAGAAATATGGGTGGGGTAGAGAAAGCAACACTAAGTATAACAGCAAACATTTATACAGTACTTAAGTGTTAAGTACAGTTCTAAAAGATTTAAATAAATTAACTTAATCCTCCAAATACCCCAAAGAGGTAGGTTACTGTTATTCTCATTTTACAAATGAGGAAATCAATGAAAAGAGAGGTTAACTCACTTGCCCAGGGCCACACAGCCACTAAGGGATGAAAGCAGCATTTGAACTTAGGCAGTTTGGCTTCAGAGTCTGTGTTCTTAATTGCTATTCTATACTGCAGAGGAAAGGAGTGTAGTATGAGGTTAGTGGCATGGTCAGGGCTGGATTACTCAGGTCCATAAGGATTTTTGAGATTATCCCAAGAGCAATGGCAAATGGCTGAAGAATTTTAAGGAGGGTAGTGATATGATACTTGTGCTTTTAAATCAGCCTGGCTATAATGTGAAAAATGAATTAGAAGAAGATTAAGAGTGGATGCAAGGAAATCAGTTAGGAGGCTACTGTAGTAGCTCAAGTGAGAAATGATGGTGTCCTAATTAAATGGTAGTAGTGGAAGCAGAGAAAAAAAGATGGATTTGAGAAATATTTAAGAGGTTGAACAGACAGACTTACTGACTAGCTGGACATGAAGAGTAAGAATTCAAGAACGACTTCTAGGTTTTTAGATTACTAAAAAGTAATTTGATAATTATTGTTTTCCTACTGATTTAAAATGTTACCTCTACGATATACTAATGTCCCTATGTGTTTGGGTTTATATTTTTTTTATTTCTCACCTATACCACTTTATCAATATCTGGTAAGACATCATTACTTGCATTTATACTCAGCTGCTGGGAGGTGATCTCTAAGATAAGAAGGTCTTTGTTTATCTGGGTGCCTGGAGCCACACCAAATAGTCTAATAACATAATTTAGGTTGGAGATTTTGGGTCATGTGGTATCAGCTGGACCTGGAGGGGCTGGAGACTAAGATCAGCCACACAGGTGGCCAACCAGGTTTACGTGACAAAGCCCCAGTGAAAACACTGGACACCAAGGCTCTGGTGAGCTTTCCTAGTTGGCATTACTCCACGTCTTTGTCACACAGTGTTGCCAGGTAAGTTAGTGCTGTCTGTGACTCCACTGGGAGAGAATAACGGGAAGCTCTGTGCGTGAACTTTTCTGGACTCTGTCCTAGGCATCTCTTCCCTTGGTTGATTTTAAATCTGTATCCTTTCACTATAATAAACCCTAACTATAACAGAAACCCTGGTGGCACAGTGGTTAAGTGCTACGGCTGCTAACCAAAAAAGGCTGGCAGTTCAAAGCCACCAGGCACTATAACAGCTATGAGTATGCAGCTCTCAGTGAGTTCTGTGGGCCCTTCCAGTGAATTATCGAACCGGAAGGTGATCCTGGTGACCCTGAAACTTCCAATGGTGTCAGAAATAAGAGAAGTCTTGGGGACCCCTGAATTCCACAGTTGGTGTCAGAAGTAGGGGTGGTCTTGTGGACTGTTTCCTAACTTCGCACAAGCTTAAAGAGAGGCATGATGCTTATATTCCAGAGGAGGACACAGACAAACAATTAAACAAACACGTGATAGGTGTTAAGATGGAAGACACACAGGATACCTACATCTAGGAAAAGGGAATACCATTCAAGGGCATGAATGTGAGAGAAAGAAGTCCAGTATAGGACTGTTCAAAGAAAATGAAATTAAAAAATAATTGTGATTTTAATCATAATTAAATTTGGTCTATATTTATAAAAAAAACAAACCAAACCAAACCCGTTGCTGTTGAGTGGATTCCGACTCACAGCAATCCTACAGGACAGAGAAGAACTGCCCCACAGGGTTTCCAAGGAGTGGCTGGTGGACTGGCACTGCCGACCTTTTGATTAGCTGTCGAACATTGTTTATAAAATAGTTACTATAAATATAAATGTGGATTTTAAATGCATTATCAGGAAAGGTTATAACAATTTACAGTCCCATCAGTACTTAATAAGCATGCCCATTGATCAAAATTGCAAAATTTGAAGCAGACACTCTTTGAAAGATAAAATGATTTAGAAATTTAAGAAAAATCTACTGGAAAGCATATTGTGGAATTAGAATTGATTGAAAGAATATGAACTGGAAATTTACTGACATACATTACTGGTGAGAATGAAAATCAATCTCTTTAGAAGTTATTTGTCAATGTTTATCAAAAGTTTATCAATAACTTCAAAAATGTTTGTGCCCTTGACCCAGCAATTCAACTTCTGGGAAACTATCTCAGATATATTCACAAACATGTGTGAAATGATGTAATTATAGGATTATTCATTGCAGCATTGTCTGTAATAGCAGAAGTGTCTTTCAAAAGAGGAACGGTTACAAAAACTGGTACATCCATACTATGAAGTACTATGCAGCCATTAAAAAGGAATGAGACATTCGGATGTATTACATGAAAAAAGGAAAGTGTGGAACAACGTATAATGTACTACTGTTTGTATAAAAAGGAAAAAAACATAGATATACTTATTTATTTACATACATGTTTACATATATATGTTATTGAACAACTTTTCTTTATCAATTACTGATTTTGGTGCCTTTACTGAAAATCAACTGACCATGTGAGTGTGGACTCTATTCTGGTTCTTTGATCTACTTGTCTATCCTCATGCCAGTATCACAATGTTATCACTACTGTAGCATGTAGTAAGTATTGATATAAAGTAGTGTAAGGTCTCCAGCTTTGTCCTTGTGTCTTAAGATTTATCTGGGTGTTGTAAGTCCCCACCTTTTACATACATGTAAATACTCTGGAAGAATACAAGGAAACTGACAGCACTAATTGCTCAGGGAGGGAAACCACGTGCCTCAGGGGAAAACTCTGCTCTATCTACATCCTCTAGTGCACCTTTTGAAGCCTGAACCATGTGAATGTAGCACATCTATTAAAAACATTAGAAAAATTAAATTACTAATAAATCTTATCAACTAGGAATACTTATATATATTTATTTGCACATACCTGGCATTCTGTTTCATTAGTTACAGTTGTCTTCAAGTCATCTTGTTTACTTATGATCTTCTGCAGCTAAAAAGATTGTAAACACAAGTTTACACATGTGGCTAGTGGATTTTTCAAAACAACCTAAAAACAGATCCCAAATGTTTATTATGAAAATATATACTAGTAATTTGTTAGACATTAACTTAAATTCTTTCTGCATTGTAACTTCTAATATCTTTATCTTTTTATTTCTTAGATTCTATAAGAATTAAAGAAGAAAACAGACATGAAAGTATTAATGTGATTATTATTATAGTTTGGCTCATTTTTTTCTCCTAAGAAAGCTAGCTTATCTAATACTTGCATGTTCTAAAAGTATCACTCTGTAAAAACTTCATGATTACCCTGGTCCTTCTTTCAAGAGAATATATATTCATAATTCATTTTTTCTACTGATAATTTTATCATTGATAGTTATGGCCATATTTTCAAGTACATAGTCTTAAAAAGTTATTTATGCCATACTCTTTCTTTCCTCTATATGTATTTAGTAAGCATTAAAATAATTTAAAGGCATTTCTACTAATTATAAAATTGTCAAAAAAAATTGTCAATACTACCTTGAAACTGAGTACATTAAAAAACTTACCTTTCAGAATCATTTGTACCAATCCTCATATGGAAAGCAACAACCAAAAAAAAAAGGAATTTAAAAAAATCAAATGTGCATGAAATCTTAAACTATGGATTCAAATCAGTTAGGTGAAAAATCTTTACCCAGTTTTTTATGGTAAAGTTTTGGTAATAGTTTGTGAATTGCTCCAATTAAATTCCAAATTAATTATCTCAAATTTAACTGCTTGTTCTAGGCAAATGGCTTACCTCTAGTTCTCTAAATCCCTCAGCCAAACTTTTCAACTCCTCTCAAGCTATGCATACTTGTTTAAGAAAAAAAGTTAAAAAATTTCATATTTATTTTATCTTTTATTTTTTAAGCTGAAATCAAATGGTATAATATCAAGTTCAATACCCTAACATTTATTCTTTTGCTTAATTCTTCCTCCCTCTAAAATTTTTTTTAATTATGGAAATTTAATACATAATTGTCAGTTATCTAATGCTGCTATAAAAGAAATACCACAAGTGGATGGCTTCAACAAACAGAATTTTATTCTCTCACAGTCTAGTAGGCTAGAAGTAAGAATTCAGGGCATCAACTCCATGGGAAGGCTTTCTTTCTCTGTCAGCTCTGGAGGAAGGTTCTTGTCATCAATATTCCCCTGGTCTAGGAGCTTGTCAGTGCAGGAACCCCTGGTTCAAAAGATGTGCTCTGCTCCTGGCCCTACTTTCTTAGTGGTATGAGGTCCCCCTGTCTCTCTGCTGGCTTCTCTCTTTTATTTCTCAAAAGAGAACGACTCAACCTAATCTGGTAGACTGAGTCCTGCCTCATTAACATAACTGCCTCTAATCCTGCCTCATTAACATCATAGAAGTAGGATTTACAACACATAGGAAAATCACATCAGATGACAAAATGGTGGACAATCACACAATACTGGGAATCACAGCCTAGCCAAGTTGACAGACATTTTTGGGGGACACAATTCAATCCATAAAAATAAACAAAGTAAACAGAATTCTATAATAAACCACCATATATGTATTGCTCGGCTTTGACAATTATTAATATTCTGCCATTCTTGGTTCATCTATACTTCAACCACTCCCCATCCTCCTCTTGATTATTATTATTTATAATTTTCCTTTCCAGGAAAAATTTACATACATTGAAATACATACATCTTAATCATACCGTTCTAACAAACAGATAGGAATAAGGGTTATCCATATTCTGATCACGGTGTAAAACATTCCCATTTTTCTCAGAAAGTTTCTTTGTGTCTCTTCCCAGTCAATCCTCTCTCCTTGCATTCCCACAGAGGCAGATTCAGAGTTCTGATTTTTTTTTTCCACCTAAATTAGTTTTGCCTTGTCTAGAACTTCAAATAAATGGAATCCAACAGTATACAGTCTTTTGTGTTTGCCTTCTTTTATGCATCATGTTTTTGAGATTAATCCATGTTGTTTTCCGTAACAGTAGTTTGTTCTTTCACCACTGGGTTGTATTCCATTGTATGAATATACCACCATTCATTCACTTGTAGATAGATGTTTGGTTGTCTCCAGTTTTTGACTACTATGAATATAGCTGCCATAAAGTGTTCTGTACAATTTTTTTTTTCATTTCTTTTAGATAACTACCTGGGAGGGTGTGATGTAAGACCTGAAATTAAGATGCAATTATTAATATTGCCTTGACATCTTTGGGTCTCACAGGGTCCCAAAGGCCTAATTTGTTCTTGCCAGATATGCTCCTCACCCAGCAGGAAAGGCTTTCCACCTGGCCAGTTCCCCTATGAGCTGGACCAGCTGCACTCCACTCAATTCTCAACCCAACAGGTTTCACTTCTCAGTCAGCCAATGGAATTATTCAAACAAGACAATAACATCCTCTTGTGGGAACCAGTGGTCACCCGACCCTCTTGTTACCACAAAGCCTGCCTCCCACATCCACTGGTTGTTCGCTCTGTTCCCAAGTACAATCCCTGTGTGGCCCTGTGTGGTGTGTGGTGTTCTCTTTCCAGGGTTGGGAGATAAGTTACTAATAAATTGCTGTCCATCTTATCTGTCCAGTGTCCGGTGTTGAGCATTTGGCCACCCTCATAACCCTAGGGCAAGAATTCATCCTTCATCAATGGGGTAAAAAGGAGACATATCAAACAGAGGGGAACATTTAGGTCTGTTTTACTTTATAAAAAACTGTCAAACCTTTTTTTCCAAAGTGGTTGTTACATTTCAATTCCCATCAGCAACTATGAAAATTCTGCCTACCCTAGATCTTGAAGATAGACTTTGTTTCCTTTCAGCAGCTTAGTTTTAGCTTTTGTTTATATTTATAACTCATCTAAAATAAATCTGTGTATATGGTGTGAGGTAAGGCTTATGACAACTCTTCCCCCATATGTATCTCCAGTTGTTCTAGTTTCATTTACTGAAAGACTTTTCTTTCTCCATTAATTGAGTTGGTGCCTTTACTGAAAATCAATAGACCATGTGAATGTGGACTCTTTATTCTGGTGTTTTGATCTAGTTGTTTATCCTTGTGCCAATATTACAATGTTATCATTACTGTAGTTTTGCAGTAAGTTTTGAAGTCAGGTAGTGTGAGGTCTCCAGCTTTGTCCTTGTTTCTTAAGATTTATTTGGGTGCTAAACCCCCAGCTTTTACATATACACTTTAAAATCAGCTTGTCATTTCTATTAAAAAACAAATTAAAAAAAAGGGCTGCTGAGATTTTGCTTAGGAAAGTTGAATCTTAAGACCAATTTGGAAAATCTAACATCTTAATGCTACTGAATCTTCTATTCCATTAACATGGTATACATTTATTTAGCCCTCCTTGTGTTTCTACCAATAATGTCTGAAGTTTTCAGTGCATATTTTGTTAAACGTATTTCTAATTATTTTATGTTATTTGATACCATTCTAAGTAGAACTGAGTTTAATTTCATTTTCCAACTGTTTGCGGCTAGTTTATGAAAATACAAATGATTTTTACATAGGATATTCTATCCAAAGACATTGCTAAATTCACTTATAGTTCTAGTATTTTTTGTTTTTGTTGTTGGCTCCTTAGGATTCTCTACATACAACCATGCTGTGAATAAGGTTAGGTTTATTACTTTCTTTCAAATGTTTGTACCTTTTATTTATTTTTCTTGAATTACTGTTATCTCTGAGACCTCCAGTAATATGTTGAATAGAAGTGAGAACATTCTTGCCTTCTTCCTGATCTTAAAGAGAAAAGTACTCAGTATTTCACCTTTTAGCAGGATTCTATTTTTAATTTTTTTTGTAAATGCCTTATATCAGATCGAGGAGGTTCTCTTGTATTCCTACTTTGCTGAGTTTTATCATAAAAGTATTTTGTTCTTTATTCTGTAAATATGATGGATTGCACTGATTGTTTTTAACTATTAAACTAATTTGTATTCCCTAGATAAATCTCACTTGATCATGATGTATTATTTTATATAGTGATTGATTTGATTTGCTCTATCTTGTTAAGTATGTTCGTGTCTTTGTTCATGAGGAACACTGGTTTATAATTTACTTTTTTTGTTAGGTCTTTGACAAGTTTTAGTTATCAGGGTTATACTGGTATCATAAAATAAGACAGTTGTGTTCCCTTTTCATATATTTCCTGAAAGCTTAAATGCTTGACAGGTATCAGCACTGAAACCATCTGGGCCTGGACATTTCTTTGTGGAGTTTTTTTTTTTTTAATACTGTGGTAAAAACATATATAACAAAATAGTTGCCATTTCAATACTTTTTACAAGTATAATTCTTGTGACATTGGTTAAATTCATCATCTTGTACAACCATCACCACTATCCATTTCCAAATTTTTCCACTACCATTAACAGTCAAGTGCTCCCTAAACAATGACTCCTCCTTCTCTCTACCTCTGGTAACGACTAATAAACTCTGGTGTCTACACATTAGTCTATTCTAGATATTTCATATAAGTGAGGTCAGATAATATTTGTCCTTCTGTGACTGACTTATTTCACTCAGCATGTCTTCAACGTTCATCCATGTTGTGGTGTATATCAGGACTTCATTTATCTTTTATGACTGAATAATATTCCACTGTATGTATGCACCACATCTTTTTTAACCATTCACCTGTTGATGGACATTTAGGGTTGTTTCCACTTTTTGACTATTGTGAATAGTGTTGCAATGAACATTGGTGTATAGGTTTGTTTGCATTCCTGCTTTCAATTCTTTTGGCTATATACTACGAACGGAATTGCTGGGTCATATGGTAATTCTATGTTAAACTGTTTTTTTTTTTGTTTTTTTTTGGTGTTTTTGTTTTTTCTACGTTAAACTTTTTGAGGAACCATCAAACTGTTTTCCACAGCGGCTACACCATTTTACAATCCCACCAGCAGTATCTCCACATTCTTGCTACCACCTGCTGTGTTCCATTTTTCTGATCAAAGACATCTTA